TGTCGGCGCGAGTGTCCACTCGTTGGCGAAACGCCGTCCGAAATGTCGAGCGAAACGAACACCACTTCTGGCGCCGTCGCTGTCAACAGGAGATCCAGCCCTCAGTCTTGGAGACCATCAGTTCGTACAATGTTCTCACCATCGATGACATGGATTCAGACAAGTGTCGCGACATTTACGTCAAGTGGTATCGCTATCAACGGCTCAAACACGTGGACAACACGTGTCTCGAAAGTTACCACACTTTCGGCACTAAAGCCCTATTCGTCGACAATATCACTACAATTGCTGTCACCGGTAAACTGATCCATCTCTTTGTTATCTCATTTTGCTTCCTATTTTCACACTAAATGTATTTTTAACCCCTTTTTCAGGCACTCTTGTGATCACTGGTCACCGATCGGGTGAAGTGAAAGTGACTGACGCTCACAACAATATGGCTCCTCTTGTAGTGACCCGACATAAAGATCGAGTCAATGACATAGCGGTCGTCAATCTGGCCGGAGATGGTTAGCATTGGGTTTGTTTTTGTTTTAATAATTGGTTTATTAATGGTTTGCAATCTTTACAGAGATCTACGAATATCACAAAATCAGATCCGATGATTCGGATCCGTATCCCACAGATTATCCATCGTTCGCAAACCATCACCACATGATTACAATCAGCGCCAGTAATGGCATTGAGATCTCACTCATAGCGGGCCGAGGCGTCGGTCAGTCGTTTAGCATTTGTCCGCTATTAGAGCGCCGTTTCATGAAAGTCCGCGTCTCCAGAGATCTGTTGGCCATCTCTGACCAGCACTCACTCGATATCACACTCTTTCGTCTGTCTCTCAATACAAAAGGTGTCGTTCCCGTCGGCACAGAGGCTCTCAAAGCCAACTTCATTACACACGTGTCGTGTGAACAACATTTTGCCGATTCTAACCATTGGTTGGGAGTCTTTACGTTCAACAATTATCAGGTTTGTTCTCTTTGTTATAATGTTTATAATGTTTTAATTGATTGTTTGTGGTTTGCATTGAAAACAGTTGAAAAGCTTTAGTCACGAAGACACGAAGATTCTTTGTGGTGATATTGAGACAAATAATGAGCTCATCTCTAGTAAAAGCGATCGTAAATGGAAGTGGTCTTCAGTGAACGAACTCCACTATCAATACGTTCACAATCGCACCAATGGAACCGATTATGGATTGGTTTCCGTTAAGAGTGTCTTCTCTTTTGGTGACGGAATCTTTTTCATAATAACGAGTAATTTTAACGTTTTATTTTACTTTCAATTTGTTTGTTAACGAGTTTTGTGTTTCATTTGTAGACCACAATCAGATTCTGTTCACGAATGACTCGAAGACATTCATAATATGTCCGTTTGATCACTATCTCAAAACCGGCGACAATATCACATCTATAGCGCTGTTCGGCGCAGTGGTTGTCTGCGGTTCCAAAGATGGCTACCTCTTTGCGCACAGCTGTCCCACACTTAAGCGCATTCATTATCTAACACATCACGAGCCGTTGCTCGAGACCCGTATCACTGGCGACCGAATAATCAGCGTTTCGATCACTGATAACGGGGTGTCTCTGATGATAGCCGCGGCCACTCTCACCAAACTCTATGTGGTGAACTGCACGCCCACAATGGCCAGTCGGGCCAACTCTAGCGCTCGTTCCGATAGTGTTATGATTGAAAACCCAAGTCCTTGTAGTTCCGAAACTCTGGCATTGAAGTCGTTGAAAATTGAAGACTAAGGACTAGAGAGTATGTTATTATTCAATACATTGTTTAATCTCTTTTATGTGAAATATTTTAATTTTCCTGTTTATTGTGATAATTGAACTGCATTTCTGTCACTAAATCTATAAATTTTGTAATTTCATAACATTTCTCATGACATTTGACTACTGTTTAGTTGTCTTGCAATAAGAATTACTAGTGTTTTTGTTCAGCAATTTTAATGTTTTTCAATTTTTTTGTAAATTACATTTATATGTCTTTTGTTAGGTTTTGGAAATTAACAATTATTTATGACTATATCTTTTGGTAAATTTGTATCAATACTGTTTAAATCATTAATCAGTAAATTTTATAATTTTCAATGACATGTGATACATATCTGTATATTTTTAAAACAAATCAATGTCTTATTTTTAATTATCGGCACAAAAATAGAAATCAATATTTTTAAATATAATATAATAAACTATATTATAGTGATATCAATGGTTGTAATGATTTGAAAATAATAATTATGCAAACTGTCAGTGAATGACACTTATTATTAAAAATAATTATTTAGCGTTATTTGGCTGTTAAGTATTTTAATCTCCAATAAATGTCTTAATTTTGATTCATTGGCTTTTATTTAATCAACAAAAAAACTAAACACTTTTGGAGATATCAATGCAAACAGTGTTACCAGTGATTACAGGTTGAAGGCTCTGTTACCACGAGTTGAAAGACTTTAATTATCGGGTTTCTGATTGCGAGACAAACGTTTTTTCATACCTTTATTTATCTAAATTTAGTGAACTGTTTTTAAACTATCAATGCATTAATTGTTTGTACAATGAAAGTGCTTAAAGCACTGTTTAGTGCTGTTTTGAGAGCCAATTATAAAGTGCTTTCAAACTTTTATTATTACACTTTAGAAGAGTACCAATGGTTTTATTGTTTGGCTATTTAGGAAACTATTCATTAAAAATACATTTTCATAAATCGTTGATCATTTCATGTTCTCATTCTTCAACAGTTAACGCAAAAAATTTAAGCACTTTTTATTGACAGAGTTTTTAATATGAATTTAGTCTAATGTTAATAAACTCTTAAACAAGTTTTTTAACTCAATTTACAAAATAAATACATTTATTTGCTGTGAAAAGTCTATTAATAAATATGATTAACAAAACGCATAGAAAAATAGTATTTAAAATGATTTTATTATGTATTTATTGAGTTAAATGTCTGAAAAATGGTATAAAGATATAACTAATTAATTTATTTTTAGAAATAGATTGTAAAAATGAAAACTTTACAAAACCCACGATTAATACAACTTTTCCTTTAAGTTAAACTTTATTTTAGCAAAAGTTATGTCAAATGTTATGAAAGTCAAGTCATTATCACGACATAACGTCATGCCATTACACAAACATTTCCCATATTTTTACTAAAAGTATACTTTCTTTACCCAAAAG